CGTGTGGCATTCGTGTCTTAGTCGAGCGACATCGAGCACTGTATATAAATACAACGCGTGAGAGACTCTGCGCCGTGAAACGAGAGACACGATAGAGTGCAGGCTGCAGTGCAGATTGATATGAAATAATGCGTCGCTAGTCCGAATAAGGAGTAAAGATTATTCTTGAAGAAAATTACGCGTGGTGCGTAGATCTTAATTCGTTTATTGATGTTCGTAATGCATGACATGAACCGTATTATTAAAAAATACTCGAAAAATCGTTCGATAAGTCTAAAAATTCTCTTTCGGACATTCTTTGCGCGAATTTAGAACTCGGTAGGCGCTGAGCAACAAAGTTTTACGGTGCAACAAACGTTACAGTGTCCGTATATACACGCGGGGGGTCGTCGAACTCGCGCACGCACGCAGCTGCGTTACTCGGCGACAAGACAAGTACTTTTCGCATAACAGCTCGTATAATATAATACGCGTGTGCATTGTAAAATGTAACACGCGCAAGTATTGAGATTACATTCTGTAAAAAAGAGGCGTAAATTGACCCTTCCTGATCTTTTCGTTTCACGCGTTAGACCGCTTGCTGGTTAGAAACGAGACCTCCTTAGTATGCAGCGACAGAGGCGTTATAATAAATTTACGCAATTAATATGCTAATAGCAAGCGATTATAGAAAATGACACGATCGACTATTAGAATTCGAAATAAAAAAAATGTCAAGTTTCAAGGTACAAAATGATATACCGACAGCGCGCGAGTATCCATTTTCAATCGAGAGTGTCTCTTTCTTTTACCGTCTGTCCATCTATTTCTCTTTGCGAATATAAGGACGCGTGCACGATTTCAAAGGTGTACGCATCATTAGCCATTATTATTACGCACCGAGTGTATTTTTCCCTCCCCAACGTCGCGGGATTCGATTCACATTTATATGGTAAATTAATATATCTGACCGCAGCACAAAGACCGACGTTATTTATCGTTTTTAAAAGTCCAAACACGCAAAGTTACGCGCGCGTTACGATCGTATAATAATGACTAATGGCATTCGTCTGTCTATATAACGCTACACACACCATAACTGCGCGCTACTCGCGTTCAAGTTCAGATTTCATATTATACTACAGCAGCGACTTCTGTTCGCGCGCGCACGATGAATAGCCAATAGTTTCTTTGTTGAACATTTTATGCTTCAAAGAGGGTATTTATTCATTTATTTACACGCGCGCCGGGCGATATCCCTTCTCCGATAATACAAGTATACAATGCGCGTCGAGGAAATTTTGAAATTTAATATAATTGCCGCGAGCCATCGACGTCTTACGCACGCGCGAATGCACGCGCGCGCGCGCTGGAATAATTGCACAAACGACGCGCGGGTACGTATACATAAAACGGCGGTTCAATAAACTCGAGTTTTTATTTTGTATTTGTTTAAAAAAAAAAAAAGAACGAAGCCGACTCAGCCGGTTTTCCGAAGCGAAGGTCGCTCCGCAGATCTTATATCATTTCCTCGCGGCGGGCGCACGCGCGCATATTTTCAAGCCGAAGAGCGTATTTACTTTCCGTTTCAATGAGGGAATTTATTCGACGCGTCGCTTTTTTTGACGAAAATATTTCATCGACACGATTGTTTGAGAGATTAGCGGTACAGCATTATTTATTTTGTACCTATATAGTTGATAATTGCAGCGCGAGGATGGCGGCTTGCATCGTTTAAAAACATCGTATCAGAAGAGCATTTGCGTTCTGTAAGCGCGTACCATGCGTAACTCGGTAGGATCATCGTCGTTTAGAAAGTAGAAAAATATGACCTGCTTCTTCACCTCCTCCTCCTCCGTCTTTCTCTAATTATAAAAAAGTATTATGGTATACTTTTGAGCAACGCTATTCCTTTGTATTTTACATATTACACTTCCTTCATGTAGAATAAACTTGAGCTCGTTATGAAAGACGTGAAAAATTGTATGAACCGGACCGACTCGAACTACTCCACACTAAAAGGAAATCAATGTATCAATAATTTTTCTTCCTTTGTAAAAAGGATATCAATGGAATACCGACGTCGGATGGGTATTTCACGCTTCGTGAATCCGAAGAAGCAATATCCTGGCCAGGGTATTTCCAAAAATAATAAAGCAATGCTGCGAGTGATCAAAATGAAAAAATACAAGTAGCATCCATTAAAAATTTAAAAATTGCTTCTCCTACCCACTCGGCTCATACCATTTTTTCCCCTCTCTTGCAATTATACTTACAAAGATTACCAGACTTTGACACAATAGTTCAATGTAGTACCTCCCATTTAACTGGATCTTTTACTTTTCTATACTAACCAATTAATACTTCTTATGGATGGAAAATAAATTCAGCGATCGAACAAAACAAAGCCAAGGTCGCACGCGGATACACCCGTATTCTTCCTTTTGAATCGCTGAGCTCGGCGCATATGTGTTCAAGTACAATACAAACCTCTCGCCCGAGTATTTTCATTTTCTGTTTCTTTATTTCGTGCATGCGCTGTGCTGCGGCTGGGATGTACAAGAACTTCGCTGCCATCTCGTTTGTATAAGTAAAGATCCTCGTGATGTTGTTTTTTCTCGCTTTTTAATTAAAAGGAGATGCGAGTTTTCTCTCTTTCTCTCGCTTTTTTTGTTGTCTCGCATCGCTTTGGTAATACAACGCTCCTATTTTGCCGCGTATAAGGTTCTCAAAGCATTGAGAGTCCTCCGATGCCATTTGTGTCCTGCGTGTCAATTTGACTCAATTTTTCTTTTAGTAATACAAAGTCCTTAATTCTCTCCCCGTAAATTTCTCTCGAAGTATCGAATAACTTTGCATTATTTTCTATAATATAAGATATTCGGCTTTATCGTTTTGTTTTTTTGCGATTGACAATTGCTTATGTTGTAAGTAAATCAACTCGACGTGCATCGTGAAACATTTGCTCGGAAAGTTTTACTGAGTGTTAAATAGGCACGTAACAAAAAAAATCGGTGATCAAAAAAACTGTTCACATTTCTCTGCAATTCATCGCTGAAAAATCCTGAGAAAATTTATGGCTATCCTTGCGCGCACTTTTCGCGAGCTACGATTCACGCTCGAAAAATATATTTTATTGCTTCCTTCCAATACATGTTTATGTAAACAATTTTTATTTATTATTGGCAATTAAATCGAAGAAAATTAACTGAAGTGCTTTTCATTAGCTTCAATTTAAACGCGTAATCCTTAACCAATCGAGTGAAACGTCAGAAAAAAAAGACTCCTTATTACGATGTTTGAGGCAAAAAATAACCTGCGGTCATTAAAATGCCTAACAATTTATACCGTATATTAAGGCTCCCATCGAGCACAGCATAGACGCTTCCTTGAGAAAAGTCATAATGCTCTCGCTCAGCATCATTTCGCGCGCACTTTATTTACCCAGTAAACAAAGAAGCCCGAGTGTACATACACGCGCAGACAGATTGGCTTCTGTCGCTGTCACGCTAATCGATTTTAAACTCAACACTTGACAAGTTCGCAGTAGAGTGCCAAGTCTCGCTAGCTCCGTTGGGGCTGCATTTGAGAGCAAAAAAAAAAAACAATAACGACAACTGAGCGTTACCGCTGCGTTGTCAGCACGAGTGCATATGCATACGCGTCTACACAAGCACGTGTCGCGTGTCGCGTTTTTTCTCTTTTTTTTTTGAAGTTTTAAAAAAATGAGTACATGTCAAATACTTGACTCGCGACTAGGACAATAATTTAGTTCAAGGATCGGTGCAGTATCTGTGCGTGTGTGTGTCCCGTTTCGTGAGAATTATGGTTTTGTTCATAACAACCGTGATGACGATTTTTCATGAATTAGCGAGAAAGTTACGTCGTCGAACCGAACGTAAGCAATTGTCCTTATAATATAATCGTAGTTGCAACTCGACCATTTTTCCTTGAAAACGAGATTCATTGGATTTTATTTATTTTGAAGTCCGATCGAGTGTGTTTTTCAGTTTAAAAAGCCATTTTCCGCGCACACACATATATCCCAAAGCATAAGAACAAAAAGCCATTAAATTAATGTAGCGAAAGCCGGTAATTGTGTAAAAACTCAACGAGACTCGAATGAGCGCGCAGCCAGCCGATAGCCCGTCATTAACTTGCAGCAGCAACAGTACGGCATAAATCACGCGCTGCTGTGTATGTATATAGGTATATTGTAATACCGTAAATCGAAGTCTGTGTTGCGCTAATCAATAGATTTAGCGTTGTTCCCCTCGTCGGTTACGAAATTTTCGAATGCTTTGCACCACGCGATGTTGTGCTGCCTGTGTATACACATAAAAAAAAAATTCGTTACGCGTGTACCCGAAACATTATTTTATTATTATATTTTCTTCTCTTTTTTATTTCTCTTTCAAATCCATAATATTTCCCTCGCGATTCAAGCTGCAGACCGCGTTACGAATAATGTCCTCTCGAAATTAAGATAGCGAAAATAAAGGAGGACAGCGCGAGGGAGAGAAAGAGAATAAGTCGAATAACAAAGACACTTCGGATAGCGCAAAGTGTATCTCTGGGCAGTCATCGCGCAATAAACTCGATTGAACTTTCACTCGGTGTGTACATAATTCTGCCATGCCGGCTCGGCTGCGAACTCTACTATAGCTTCGCGATCGACCCAATAATAAATCGAATCCAGACCGGAGTGTATGGCATAGGTATATTATCCGGGCCGCGGTTTGGTGCATAATAAGACTGCGAGGGCTATTTTTTGCACGAAATTATATTGTGTATGATCGAAACGCCGAGAGAGAGAGAGAGAGAGAGAGAGGGAGACATGATTTTCTTTGAGGAATACGACCTCTGTGTACTCGATCGTTTTTCTCAGCGATATTGCACGCGAGCTCGAATTAGGATATTAGGCTCGATGTACACTCGAAATCGATTGTGCCTTAGATATGAAAAATAATTAAAAAATGTTAATAACGCTGTCGGCTAATCGATGCTCTTCTGTATTACAGAAAGTGGAAGGAATCAGGAGAAAAAGCGGAAGATGGCCTCGGGTCCGGTGGACGACGTGGACCTGATCGACCTCGAGAGCGGCGTATGCGGCTTGAATCGAGCCAGCGTGCCGGACGCCACCCCCGAGGAGCAGGAACATCTGCTCGACGTCTGCCCGCCCAAGCTCGAGCAGAAGCTGTCGCTCACGCGACGCCAGAACGAGGAGGCGCGTCGGAAAATCGCCGAGAGCATCGGCAACGATCATCAGGATGTCCTCGTTACGCTGGGTCACGATCAGGTCGTGCCGCAGCGCAAACGCATCGATGTCGTGTCGAACGACACGATCAAGCGAGTGCGCGACATCACGAGGAATCTGGCGCCGGTCATCGGGATCGGCTCTCCGTCGTTGGATCGCGTCGACTACCCCGCAGCAGCGGAAAAATCATCGCCGTCAAAGTCGCCGATCAAATCGAGGGCCGGCTCGATCGAGGAATCGTTCGAGGCGCGCGAGATCAACGACGCCTTCGAGTTTCTATCCGAGCACGACGACAGCGCCGAGATAGCAGCAGCCTGCAGCAGCAGCAGCAGCTCAACGCCACAGCAGGCCGGCGCCTCCGCGTTCTCTTATCCTCTCGAGCCGACCTGCTACATCATAGAGGATCGCGAAAAGTACTGGAGTCCAGGCTTGGATAACGAAGCCTTCGAGATATCGCCGACGAGCCGCAAGCAGCAGCAGCAGCAGCAGCAGCAACAAGAGCAGCAGCAGCCTACGATGTGGCGAAACTCGAGCGCGTTCGATCTGTCGGACAGATTGTTAGCCATGGGCGGGCAGTCCGTAAAGCGGCTGAGATCGCTCACTTACTCGGCCATAGGCGGTGATATAGCGGACGAGAGACGTCGCAAAAAATTCAAAGGCATGATGTACAGAAATAGCTGGAACGGCAGCGGAGGTGGAGGTAGCGGCTCGTCTCAGGGAGCGAGCCGAGATCTCGTGAACAAGCGAAAAAAGAAGAACGGCGTCACCAAATCGTCGAGAAAACATCTGAGGCGCAGGAGCGTAGGAAAACTATCTGGATTAAGTGGGTGAGTTTATGCGGATGAAAGGAGGCGATAATCGATTGCGATGCCATAAAAAAACCACGACGACGTTTCGACATTTTATCGTTGATTCTTTTGAAAGAAATTCATGAAAATTAACACGGTGATAAAGCATGCGTCTCGCATGTATCCTGCCACGCGTTTTTCTGGTCATACACTATATGACATTTACAGCGTCGATAATATACGCGCGAAAAACACAACAATAACGAAAGCGCGCGTAATGCGGATAAAAGCTGCGCGAAAAATAGGTCATCGAGCTCCCTCGCGCCTCGGCTCGCGTTTGACGACTTTATGCGACATTTACATTATCTTGGAGACGCGGATGCAATCACTGCGTATATTACACATTCAATTCGTGGCGGTACAAGGCTACCATACATATCGGCTCGATGTCTCATAATTCACACGCGTATATGAGCGTCGACAATCGCATTCCATGTCGGGAGAAAAAATAATAATAATCGGGGAGATTTATTGACGCTTTCTTCGCGATATTAATTAGGAGATGTGGAAAATTTGGTGCATCTCATTGATAGAGCGTGTGACAATGGCTGCGTGCCCTGATTTTAATTATACGTTAACAAAAACATATGGCACTCTCGCTTTCGTGTGTTGAAATTGTGATCGTAGCGCCTTCGAGCGAACACAACTCATGCGTAGGTTCGAAACAGTCATTTCATTATTTTCATTGCGCAAACTTGTAATTTTTACGAGCGAGTACTTCGTTAAAAAAAAAAAAGAAAAAAAATTATAATAATTGGCTCTCGAAGAAATAAAAAGCGTGAATTTCGCGCGTGCGTCTGCGTTAAAAAGTAGTACAACAATTACAAATATATTCATGGCACTTCTCTCGTCGGCGCACTATACTTCGTGTGCTCGGTCGACGGGAAAATTCGTTATACTTCCGAATATGTGCGGCGAGCGCGATGACTTCGTTCGATTATCTTGAGGCGCGCGACCGCTTACCATCGTCGAGAAGGGCAAATATAGATACACGCGATAAATATTTCATCGACTCGCGGAAACTCCCGTATTCCTGTCCCGCACGAAACGACACGAGCGTGGCACGCGAATCGCCTTCCTCTTGAATAAATTAAGACGATTCACCTGGACTCTCTCTCTCTCTCTCTCTCCTCGGCATATCTACGTCTACAAAAGATCGTTAAAACTTTGGTCATAGCGCAATGCGTCGGCTAATCGACTGAGCTCCCCTTTTTGTCTTTCAATTGCGCTAAGCATAGAGCAAAACTAGTATGCAACCCTGCGAAGGAAAAAAAGGGCACTCAAAGTGTTACGCAGGTTAAACATACAAGCCGTGTATGTAGTATGAAAAAAAAAGTAATGCGGGAGTCTCTAAGGCGTGTGCACATTACAAATATGTGTGTATGTGTGCGCGCGTCCGCATCCGCGGAAATTGACCGGAAACTAGTTGTTGCTACACGAGCATCGGACGCGGGGGTCGCCGTGCGTTCATAGGAGCGTGTCGAGAGGCCTGCGCGCAGGCGGTAGGAGCGCGTTTGCAAGCTCATGGTATAGACCTTCGAGTCCACTCAAGCTGCGTACAAATATCTAGGAGAGAAGAAGAAAAAAATATCACTTAGCTTCTCTATATGCGTGCGTATATCTCTATACCGATAAAAACATGTCTTTTCTTTTCAGCGATCGTCTTGCTCGAGATATTCGCATACTCGCGCGCGCATCCGTATTCGGAAATGTGTATCATTATTTTTATAATAAAGAGCGCAAGGATGCACACGCACGGCTGAATCGAAAGTTATGAAAAAGAAGAAAAAATGTTCGTGATATAGCAGTTTAGATGCGATTCGACGTAAATAAACAAACAGACGTACGGATACGATTTCGGATTCGTATATAAATCGGTTCGAGGTTAACGCGAAATTTTCACGCTCTCGGTGTGCCGTTACGCTTTTCTTGGCGGGACCAGATGAAACTGACAAAGATTCATAAATCATAACACATTTCATTCGTATAATGCACACTCGGATACTCGCAAGAATATCGCGCGATCGTTGATATGATTTATTTGTTTTTATCCAAAATACCGGAATCAAAAGCGTGTGCGTGCGTGCGATTTAAAAATATACAGCGTGCGGATCGTCTCGATAGCTTTGACCCCCGAAAATTTTCTCAATTTTGCAAACGGACTAAAATTGCAACGCCCGATGGTAATGAAATTAAAATTATCGCGCGTCTCGAGCGGGCGCCGCGTTGTATTTATATTTAACGCGCTGCATGCGTATCTCTCGAGACAATATTTACTAACGAAACACCCACGCGCGTAAAAAAAAAAAATTGGCCGATAACGGAAATGTATTACTACAAGTAATTTTCCAAAAAAATAGAGTTACACAATTTTCCAGCATCAATTGTCATTTAATTACATCGAGTGCAATAATAAAAAAAGTAAATAAATAACGATGCGGCGCACTTTCACCGATGGCACCACCGACGGTGTGAAACAAAGAGAAACGAGCTCGTATATCCGTACTACACAAACGCGCGTATGTACATTCTTCACTTCCTATACACCGAAGCGCGAGTAATTATGCAGTACACCTTTTCCGAGTAATACGCATATACGTACTCTATACTGCAATATTTATATATTATAAATTATGATACATCCGCATGATTATTACATGTAAGCGTGTGTCTTGGAGTTGACTATAAGCGCATCCAAATAGCGCAGACTTTGGCTAGTCGGAAAACTCTCACTGAAAACAGATATATACATATATCCAAGCGCGCGTAACTCTCGACCGTATATGCGGCATATAATGCGGGAAAACGAGGAGAAAAAGTTACTATTCGGTAAAGTACACACACACACACTCGCCGCGGATTACGCCTGTCTGAGTTCCTTTTATTTTTACGAAACGCAACGCGGACTGCACACCGAAGAGCTCCGTTGCGAGCGCGATGACTATCTAAATTTTCACATTGCACCGGTAAAAATGTACGCGCGCGTTGCTAATCCTATCTGCCGTATGTACGGTTAGGTCTTGCTAGCATGATTTTTACGTCCTACACCCTTTGAGTGATTATTATAATTTTTCCTACTTTTTTTTGCATAGTTCTACAAGAAGGTAGGAAGAAAGATACATATACAAGTCGAATCGGTGTCGACGACCTTTACGTTACATGCGAGCGAGCTATATGTGCGTTATTTGTAATAATGCAAAAATAACAATTTTATCCGACGACTGTATTGTCTTCGCGTGCGCCGAGGTGAATTTCATAATTTATGAAACAAATAGTCCTCGTCGTCGTCGATTACGACACACGACGTTAACATTATCCGGACGATTCTATTCTTCGGGGCATTTTTAGCACGCGACGAGCGAAAAATGATGCCGCGCTCGCGACTATTGTTGTGGCATTATTACAATACCGATATCGAGGCGCAAGATCTGGATATTTTGTAAATGAAATAAAAACCGTATACGAGCGTAATACACGTTTCGAATTATCATTTTTTGCCATTATCCATGCGGGGGAATGGAAGGTTACGCGAGAAACGCGTAAAAAGCACTTCCTGCGCGGTGCACATACGAATCCTTAATCAGCATAATCCGTCGATTGCGTGAATGAAATTCGATTGTTTACATTTTTTCTTCGCCTTTCATGACACGCATTATTATATTTTGTTACTGGACAATGAATGGAATTATAACGAGCGAAACTTGTCCGTTGTATTTTTACAGATCTAATCCGAGCGGATCGTCGTCGAGCGCTGCTTGCACGGCCAGCTCGGACTCGTCGTACTCCTCGTGCTCGGAAGTCGACTGGTCCTGGGTCGAGGAGGTCGACTGCGAGTGCAACGCCGGCAACGATATCGGTAATATCGGTAATATCGGTATCCACCAACGGAGCCAAGACGACGAGGAGCGGCAGCACCGGCAGCAACGAGTCGACGAGGAGGAAGAAAAACTGGTGCAAGTAAAAGGCGCAAAGGAGGAAGCGCTCGAAGGATCAGGAGTGACGACGCGGCAGGAGGAGGACTCGTCGTCGTCGTCGTCGTACGGGCTGCATCGCGCCTCGCCGCGAGCCCCCACCTCGAAGCGCATGCGCGAGAGCAGCTGCAGCAGTCGTAGTAGCGGTGGAACAACGCCGCCGCCGCCGCAGCCGCCGACCGGTCGCTCCTCCGACGGCAGCAATAGCAGCAGTAACAGTGGCGGCAGTGTCGCGATGTCCATCGCCGCGTCGTCGGTGCAGGCCAAATCGGCGGATCCGAGCCGTGTGACGACGGCGACGACGAATCGCAGCCGCCTCGTTGCCAGTGCCGGTACCCTCGTTCACAACAACAACAATCATCATCACAATCGTCATCAACGTCGTCGCAGCAGCAGCAACAACAACGCCAACGACGACAACAACAGTAGTGCTGTGCTAGATTTTACCTCGAGCCAGGATCCCGAGGCCATTAGGCTGCATAATCGCAATGAAAGGTCCGTGCCTCTGCTCTGCTACTACCACACAACGAAAATTGTGTGCACTTGTGCATTCGTTCTACAATTTGTGCTGCGAGCTCGTGTCTCTGAGTGTGTGTGTGTGTGTGTGTTTATACTATATATATACGTGAATGATATATTTAAAGAGTTAGAGCGGCGGCGAGAGGTGAACGAACCGGCGCGCTGCAGTGCACACTACTGCTGTATAGCGGCAGCGATCGCGCATTGCGAGGCCCCCGTGAGAACGGTACACTGCATTTGTAATATCGCGCGCGGGTGCTCTGCTATTATAAAATGTTCAATCCCTCGCAAACGCCGCTGCTCCCGTGCATTGCTACTGGTGCAGTGATACGCGAATCTTGGTTCTGTGCGCCCGATGGATAAATAACGGTATTGACGCACACGCAACAACGATCGCGGCCGCGCGCAAAATCGATAACGAGCAACGCGCGCGCGAATATATATAATATAATAATAATGTACTATACACATGTGCAAAATGTCTGCGTGTGCGTGCGTGTGTGTCTGTACACGGCAAACGAACGAAGATTGTGGAATAAGAAAAAATATGAGAAAAACGAGCGCACGAAATTCCGGGGTTACTATTGCTTTTCGTTAAATTCCACTCGTGCGTCGAGCAAATTTCGAGAGCGGAAAAAAGCAGCAACCAACAATTGCACTCGGAGCAAGCGTGCGTTGACCTCCGGGGTAAAATCGGCAAAATTCTAAGGATGCAACTGTGCCAAGATAGACGTGCGCGATGTCCGTAGTGGCTCTCGGAATCAACTCTCCGCGGCGATTACCTTATTGCACTCGCGACGAATAAACGCCGATTTTTCTACGAAATTGTGCTGCTGCCTGCTGCTACTGGTGCCGCCGCTGCTACTGCTGCTCGTGCGAGTGTAAAGTGCATGTTCAATATGCCGGGAGTTTGTTAACCTCGTCGCGCGCTCGATGCAACGAACGATGTGCACTTTACTGTCGACGACTGACGCGGCTCTGATCTTTTTTTAGAATTGGAATTTTTATTCAATCATTTTGTTATTTTTTCAATTCAAAGCCAAGAATAATTTTCATTTGTTATTGAGACAGTCGTGTGTATTAAAATATAAATGGCCTAATTCCGCGGATAAAAAAAGCATGTGTTTTGCACTTGTGTTTATAGTAATATTCTAAATACAAGTTTTTCATGATCTCCAAACTGTAGTTATCGAATTGCATACAAAATATAAATTATTGTATTTGTAATATTGACTCGTAGGGAAAAATTCCAAATACTTCCGATAAGTTTGAAAAATATTCTACTAATAAATAAATTTATTAAAATTTATATTTCATTAAAAAAAACTGTCACCGTTCGGCGAGCATCGGTACTCCGTTATCTTCCGTCACTGCACGACGAAGAAAACACAATAAATGACCATAAATACCGTTCGAATTATCTATACAATAGCTCGTTATTTAGTAAAATTACTATCAACAGCAATTCCGTGTACGCGAATGCATGTACACCGCGCACAGAAAACAATTAAGTCGAATGCAGGTCCATTCGACCTAGTTTTCGTATGTAATACGTAAGAACACACACTCACACACACATGAGTATTTTTTACCTGCATAATTTGTTTTACGCAAACGCCAGTACTTTTTTGTCCGTCATTGCTCTATTAGCTCATAATATAGCTTGCAGTTCGCTTCTCGTCGCATTATTCGTTCGCGGTATAAACACACATACGCGGAGAGAGAGAGAGAGAGAGGGAATGTTTTACGCCGATTTTATTCATTATTATCTTCTGCAACGTCAACGAGTCCGCAACGCTGTACTATCTCTTTCGTTTTACAGCAGCGGCGGCGGTACACTGCCATGGTTGCGGGCCTCGATGCGGCGTCTTCGTCAGCTGCGAATACCGGGAACGGGCTCGGCGGCCAACAACAACAGCAGCAACAACGGCAACGCAGCCGCCAACGCCATCGACAGCAACGGGCCAAATTCGCTACCCGACATAGCTCTGATAGCTCCGGAAATCCTGGCCGCGCAGACCAACGACACGACCGGTGGACTGCTGAGGCCGTCGAGCGCCCCCGCTCCGAATCGCAGCATGGAGAGCGTACTGTCGAGCCCGACGATCGATACCTCCTCGACGACGACGCTGGCAGCAACGTCACAGGCGATCAACGCCGTCTCCGCGGTTATCGGGGCCAGCAGTAGTCCCCGAAGAGGTCGAAGAAGTAATGCCGTAGCCGCGGCGGCGGCAGCTTCCGCAAGGTGTCAAGCGAGTACTGGTGCTAGTGCTAGTAGTAGTAGTAATAATAATGGTACGCAAACGAGAGTGAGTCTGGCCGAGTCGACGAGCACTTGTGCCAGCTCGGCTGGCACGACGACCATAAGCAGTGGCAGTCGTAGTTCAGTGTCTAGTGCTCAAGTTAGTCCGCAGCACCAGAGTCAGCAGCAGCAAAATCCGCAGCGCGACCAGCAGCAACAGCAACAGCAGGCCGGCTCGCCTCACAGGATGGGCTCCACGAGAAGGTTGGTATACAACATCCGTTTCAATAACTTCTTCTTCTTCTTGACGTTACATACTATCCGCATGCGCCGGGTTTTTCTCGCTCCGGTAAATTACCCTTAGTTCTTGTCCGCGCGGCGTTGGTCACATTTTTTTAATGACTCAGCCGTAACTGTTTCATATAGTATAACGTATTATAATATGCAGACTGGGCGTTGCGGTTAGCTCTGTAAAATCTTTCGACAAGACTTCCCGTTAAGATTAATATAACCGAGGATTTTTTTTAATCCAATTCGACGACTCCGAACTTTGCGCTATTATATGTTCTCCACAACGCTTGCCTATAACGATCATTTTCATTCATTAGTGGCGCATTTAAAGCAATATCGAAAATGCCAGATTCTCCCGAGTCGATGTACACACACAGGCAGCAGCTGATTTTATCAGCGCATCCGCAGCAGCGCACAGATCGTTTATGTATAGACGAGCGCGCGCGTAGAATCATTTAATCGATGCATCGCAGCGATATACTAACGAGCTCGTACATAGATGTGTGCAACTGGTTTTAAAACTTGGCACGCGGTGCATACTCTCTACTCTCTGCAGTGTGTACATTCGAACGAGCAAAGTTTCGTTGTTCGTTTGCTGTACGCACATATATGGCCGTGCGCACGTACGCACGCATTATTATACAATCTAAACAACGAAATGCGCGTACGCGCCTGAGAACGAATTATATGCTACCGAGTAGCATCTTGATTTTTTTAGCCTCTGCGTGCCTCCCCGCCCGCTGCGCGAGTGCAGCTCACAGTAGGAATTGTCTCACAGAGCGCGGGTGCAAGCCGAAATAATAAACAAAGATTCTTACACATATTATACCACGCGTAATGCGTGCGTTGAGTGCCTACTATACGAGAATTAATTTTCGCGCTCGGAGTTGCGCGCCGCCTTTGTATAATACTATATGTGCGATAATAACGTTGCTCGATAGATTTTTGTTTTATCTTTTTGTGTCATAATATATGCCAAACAATGAGCTAGAGCTCTATCTGTAAGTATACGGCAGCTGAATGAAATAATAATTGCCAAGAGCTCCTACGTACAGGCTTGTATGTAGAGGCCAACTCTGTGTGGTTGAAAACCGAGCGATCGATAATAGTCGGATAAGTCAATATCTCGCTGTGCCTTTTATTATAACTTTTTACCCCCTTTTTTTTTATTGGCTTCGACCGTCCGGGCGTATACAGTATACACAAGTACCGAGATTGTATCGTATTGAGCGCGCGGCAATTTAACGACGATTCTATCGACGCAGGTACAATAGCCGATTCGATCTATTCGAAATCTCTTCTGGAGGGGGGGCTGCTGCGGATGCGGTATTAATTTTACATTTAGTCAATTGCGTACAGCGCGCTTTTCGCAACTCGGTATATCGAGAGCAGCAGCTTTCGCGCTCATCCATAGTACGAAAGTAATAATAACATTGAATGCACGAGTCGTGCAACGCGAGACAGAGCTCGTTTGCGCGTCTGCATCGTAAGAGCCGTTTTTCCCGATAAATGTTTCACTCATCGCGCGCGCGCGCGCAAAAGTTGCCTGCACAACGAGCGAGAGTCGAGGCACACACAACAATGAAAGGATTCATCCGCAGCGTACACGTACGTGGGCCGCACGTGCGCGCGCGCCCAACCTTCGTTACTGCAGTATATATACCTGCAGTAGATCTGTGCTGCACTTCCTCGCGCGCGCGTTGGTGTTAAAGGCCATTAAGATTTGATTCGAGACGCGTTTCTATATACTGTATCTCATGTATATAGCATGTGTGTGTGTGTTTGCTGCATCTCTTTCGCTCTCTTGCCTTCCGCGCCCGCGAGGCTTTTTATCGCGCTCGCGCCCGAGATTTATTTATGAATTTTCATCGTATTTTTCGCGGAGATCTGCAGCTAGCTCGCACTTCTATGCACACCGAGCGCGCCGTTGTTCGCGTACGATATACGCTGCCTTCGTTTTCGATACAGAACGAGGCCTCAAAGTGCCTCTCTATTTTTTTCTTTCTTCATTTTTCTCAACGGCTGCTGCTGCACACTTGCCAATCGTGCATCTTATATATTCCAACTCCGTTGATACATCTCTCTCTATAATGCGGCAGTGTAAAAATTATAACATGTATTTCTCATAAAATATCTATTGCGCACATTTGGCCCGTTGTTCTTTTCTCGCTCCTGCGTCTCGTATTCGTGCGCCTATCATTAGAGTCCGCGCGCCTCGTGAATCGACATCGTCGCGCCGTCGCCGCCGCCGCTATCCTCGCTGTTGCGCAGGTAGGAAAAATGAGCCCTCGCTTATGGTAGCCGGCCAACGGCAGCAGCAGCAGCAGCAGCAACGGCAGCGGAAGTCGGTGCTGCGGCGAGTTAGCTCCTCGCGCCGGATATACGCGAAGAAAGGGGCAGAAGGAGAATTCAAAGAGACGTCCGAGCTCTTCTCTTTTTCTTCGTTTTCATCGCGTCTATATATAAAATGAACAGGAATAAGGCTTGCGAGTAGCAGCAGCAGCAGCACGACTGAATAACTATATAAACCGATCGACGAGTATTGATTGGCCACTTTTGATATCGCGCAACGTACACAATGTGTAGCAACGAGTACACATACCCATTATGTGCACTAAATTACCGTCCACCCCGCGCAAAGTATACTCGCATATATGTATTATATTATAGACACACAGGCATATGCACAATTTGTTTTACGAGATATAAAAAGGCTCTGTAAATTGGAGTGGATATATAAACGTACAAATATAGCGGTTGTGATAATCGGCCGCGCGCGGATAGATTTCGTCGAGCGGCGACGCGCAGTGAGCATTAAAAATTATTCGATAATAATCGCGGCGGCGGCATTTATGAAATTACGATTAATGTAATGTCAGCTATTCTATGGCTCGCCGATATATAGACGAAGGCTTTCATCGTGGCGCGCTCCGGCTTATACATGTGCCATATATAAGGATTCGCTCGTGAGCCGTCTCAGTGATAACACGTGTTTATAAACGCTCCGCGAATAATAGCCGATAAGGCGCGTACTCTCAGCTCGGGCTTATAAGCCCGAGTTATACGAGTTCCTACATAAATATTTAACCTAAAAACAAGTCTTCTTTGCTTTGCTACGGGCAAAAGCAATAAAGAAAATGGCTTTTCTTACCAAAAGTCCATTTTCACCAAACACAATTAACGAAAATGTTCAAATCAGTACTAGTTCAACAGTTCCAGTGTCAGTTAGTGAAAGTGACCAACCATCAGTGTCGAACCAAAGTAATGTGAAATATTCTCAAGTCGCAAAAAGTGATTCGTACCCTAAAAGAAACCAAGGAATTATCGTTGAATGTGCCGACGGAATTTCGCTTACTGAGTATACCTGTGCAATAGGAGATATCGTTGATCCAAAAAATGTTCTGTACTCCTCTCGAATTTCGAATAACAGAGTTTGCCTATACCTATCCAGTAAACAATTGGTGGACGAAGTCACAGACAAATTCGAGCACATCGTGATAAACAATATTAAAGTTCCCGTTCGGCCGCTAGTAGCAAAACTCCAAAAAGTCATTATTTCAAATGTCGCTCCTCCAATTCCTCACTACATACTACAAAACGCCCTAGAAAATCTGAACATCAAGTGTATTACTCCTATTGTCACCTTGAAAGCAGCCATCAATAAAGAAGGATATGGTCATGTCCTTAGTTCAAGAAGGCAAACCTACATTGATCCAAAAGATGCTTCAAAAATACCCGAATTCATCAAAATCGAACACGACGAGATCTCATACTATGTATACCCAAGTATAAATACATCAATAAGATGCTTCGCATGCAAAGCCGAAGGACACATTGCCAAACATTGTCCGTCTGCTACACACACACTAGGTCCTCTCTCTCAAATTCCAAGCCAGATCAGCAGTCAAAGCTCACAGTCAAACCTGCAAGATAACGTGAACAAATACACTCCAGAACATCTGCTTGAAACAGACGAAATACACGCTAACCACGCTGCAATACCTGATGAAAACATCTCTACGAGCGACCCAATGGAAACTGAAATAGCCCTCCCTTCTAAAGGAGAAAAACGAACCAGACTCGACACGGTGTCCTCTGAACATAGTGCAAATTCAGGTAAAAAAACAAATAAAGGCGAGCTAAAAATCACAAATATTAAAAAATTCAAAAAAATCGAGTCCAAAAAAGAAAAGCCAAATCTAAGAGAGCAATTACAGCCAGCTGAAAAATATTTGAATTCAAACTTAGAAAAATATCCCATAAACATTGAAGAACTCTCCAACTTTCTAAATGACTGCTTTGGTAAATCTAATATAAGCGAAATAGCTCAAAATTACTCTTCTAATCCGCAAAATCTCGTACTGATGCTTCAAGACGTTCACGAAAACATAAGCGACAGAAATCTTCGATCTCGAATCAACAGAATTCTCAAACGTTTGAATAACTCCTCCATTTCGTCTTCTGACGATGACTCTGATGAGTCAACGCGCAGTAACAACTAATTTCAATGGCGACTATCAAAACGAAGCTCACAAAACTGAAGATTATCTACTGGAACGCAAGGAGCTTTACGCAACGAAAATGTGAGCTTGAGCAACTTCTAAGAGACGACAAGCCGGACATCTTCATATGCGTGGAATCATGGCTTAACGAAAACCACAAAATAACTTATCCCGGCTACTTCGTCATAAGAAAAGACAGAAAGCACAACAAAGCAGGTGGTATAATCTTCCTACTTAAAAACTGTTTGTCATTAAAATTGCTAAGCACAAAGTCTCCAAATAGATCAGTTGAACTTCTAGGCATTTCCATTGACAGTGTTACCCCTCCTCTCGACATAATTGCTATTTACAGAACCCCGGGCATTTTACTTTCTCAACCTGATTGGGACACTGCACTAAATAATATCCAAAAAAATAGACATACGCTTTTTCTAGGCGACCTAAACGCTCACAATATAGCTTGGAATTGTA